CAGATTCCCCACACCAAAAGGAGATCAGCTGGTTAGAAGAATCAATGTTTGGCATTAATACGAGATCAATGGTTAGGTAGAATTGTTTTTTTCTTTTTTTTATTTGGTTTATCTTTTGAACAGAAAAAGGGAGATTTTGCAGGTTAGACTAGAAGAATCAATATTTACCCTCTTAACCCTAGAAAGCCCTCAATATAAGGGCACATACCAAAAGCATGTTTTCTCTAGTAGTGTTTCGCACCATTCAACTGTGCACTTGAGCGCTTGAGCACTTCGGTACTTGGAAGAATGGTAAGTTTTATGTATATCATGGTGCCTTAATCCATGTGGCATGTACCTCCAAAAACACTAAACCCACCTTCAGTAGCTAGTTTGGTTGCTGTTTTGTGCTTTGGCCCTACTTTTCTTCTTTCCCCTTTGATATTTGAGTAACTTTCTTTTGTTTCTCAATGCACTGTTAGAGATACCTTTGTGCAGCATGTACGGTGTGCGGAGAGAAAAAAACTGATCTTGGAATGGGAGGTGTGCAAGGGCCCTACCCAACCCAGGTACTTGTTCTTGTACTTACAGCCACTAGCTAATCACAAACATTACCAGTAAACATTAAACACAACCCCCAGCCATGTAGAATCCCCCATTACAACAGTTGTAAGGACACAGTGTCACCTCCTCCTTAAAGCTAGCCTTGGGTCCGACTTCCACAGCTCCAATGACAAGCTTGCCCTCAACTAATAAAAAGATCTATATTTAACAAGCTCCAAAACTTCTACTTTCACTTTATCATTACTAAAAACTCCTTTCTTTCTCCACATCCATATATATTATAATACTGCGAACCATACCACAATCCACGTCTCCTTGAATTCCTTCCTTCCAACTAGTCCTGCATGTTGTGTGGACAATATAGCTAATTAGAAATGAAAATGTATTTAGAAATACAGATAATAATTTGGAAAGCAGTTTTGGTTTAGTTCAAGTAAGAACGTTTCACTGGATTTTAGGGAGATAAGGACGAGAAGCCTTCACATTTGCTGAATGGTGCAGCAAGCCAGGGGAATGCATCAAAAAGTTGTTAGGAATGTAGGGTAAGCTGTTAAGCGGGGGTTAGCATAAATCGCTTGGAACTTTCTTGTTATATTATGGAAAGAAACTTTTACAGTTGTCTGAAATCCATTAGATGGGATAAATAGTGTGTGTAAAACGATTTAAATACCCTTACACTTGTTTTGAATGTCTTTTGTCTTTCAAAATATATACATTTGTATTTGAGTAGTTTTCGCACTCTTGTTTTCAATAAAAATCACCTTACGTTGCTGGTAAAAAACAATTTCAGTACTGATAGTTATGATGTTCAACATTCTAAACATATGTTTTACTGTGATATTTAGGCGGTTGTAGATTGGCGACAGCATAATGTTTTACCTGATATCGTGGATCAGGGAAATTGTGGTATGTATAATATAATCCACTAATAATTATTAATATTTATTAAGTAAATAATTTTTCTCTTTATTTTTGCTTATATTTTTTACAGATTGTT